CATGCCACCACACCCGACTAATTTATTTATTGTAGAGATGAGATTTCACCAAGTCGTCCAGGCTGGTCTTGAACCCCTGGGCTCAGGCAATTCTTGTTTCCGCCTCCTGAAGTATTGGGATCATAAACATGAGCCACTGTGCCCTGCCTTATTTTTATTTTTCTATTTTTTTTAGTCGAGGTCTCAATCTGTTCTCCAGACTGGGGTGCAGTGGCGTGATCATGGTTCACTGCAGCCTTGACCTCATGGACTCAAGTGATCCTCTTGTCTCAGCCTCCTAAGTAGCTTAGGACTACAGGCACACACCACCATGCCTGGCTAATTTTTTTCTATTTTTGGTGGAGACAAGGTCTCACCTTGTTGCCCAGGCTGGTTTTGAACTCCTGGTCACAAGCAGTCCTCCTGCCTCAGTCTCCCAAAGTGCTGGAACTATTGATGGCATGCCACCACACCCATTTCAGTCGTTTATTTTTATTTCTTACTTGTTGATTATCAGTGTGCGTTAATAGTTTATTTTACTTGAGATATAATTATATGTCGTAAACTTCACCCTTTGTTTTTTTTGTTGTTGTTTTTTTTGAGTTGGAGTCTCGCTCTGTCACCCAGACTGGAGTACAGTGGCGCTCCCGGCCATCGCAGCCTCGACCTGCTGGGCTCCGGCGATCCTTCCGCCTCAGCCTTTCAAGTAGCTGGAACTATAGGCGTGCGCTACCACGCCCGGCTGATTTTTTGATTTATTGTAGAGATGAGGTCGCACTGCCCAGGCTGGTCTCGAACCTGCGGGCTCAGGCCATCACTCACCTCAGCCTCCCAAAGGCGCGGGATTACCCGCGCTGAGCCACCAAGACCGGCTAAACTTCACCCTTTTAAAGTATATATTTTAATGGTTTTAGTATATTCACAAAGTTGTACAGCGAATTCCAGAACATTTGCATCAGATTCAGAACAAATCCCCTACCCGTTAGCTGCCATTCTGTCTTTCCACTCCCCCAGATGTAGAAGCCAATAGTCTACTTTCTGTCTTTATAGACTTGACTGTTCTGAACAATTCATGTAAATGAAATGATATAACATGTGGTCTTTGTGTCTGGCTTCTTTCACTTAGCATAGTATTTTAAAATTCATCCACGTTGTAGCATGTTTTAGTATGTCATTTCTTTTTATGGCTCAATAATCCATTGTGTGGATATACCACATTTTGTTTACCCGTTCATCGATTGTTGAACATTTAGGATAGTTCCACTTTTTGGTTATTATAAATAATGCTGTGATGAGCTATCATGTACTGGTTTATTTTTATTTTTGAGTCAGAGTCTCACTCGTTGCCCAGGCTGGAGTGCAGTGGCATGCTTATGGCCACTTGCATCCTTGCTCTGCTGAGCTCAAGCCATCTTTCTGCCTCAGCTTTACAAATAGCTGGAGCCGCAGGCTCGCACCACTACACCTGACTAATATATATATTTTTTAAATTGTAGAGACAAAGTCTTCCAAGTAACTTAGGCTGGTCTCTAATCCCTGGACTCAGCAGGGATCCTCTCACCTCTGCCTCCCAAAGTACTAGAATTTCAGGCATGAGCCATTGCATATGAATGTATGTTTTCGGTTCTCTTGGTTTTATACCTAGGAGTACAATTGCTGGGATGTGGCTAAGTCTGTTTAACTTTTTGAGGAATTGCCAAACTCTGTTTGGCAGGGAATGCACCATTTTATATTTTAACCCACAAAGTATGAAGGTCTAATTTATCCATATCCTCCCCAATACTTGTTATTGTCTCTTTTTTATTATTAATGACCATACTAGTGATTATGAAGCAGTAATTCTTTTTTTATTTTTTTGAGTCAGAGTCTTACTCTGTCACCCAGGCTGGAGTGCGATGACATACTCACAGCCACTGCGGCCTCTACCTGCTAGGCTCAGGTGATCCTCCCGCCTCAGCCTTCCAAGTAACTGGAGCTACAGGCATGCACCGCTACGCCTGGCTAATTTTATAATTTATTGTAGAGATAAGGTCTTGTCATGTTGCTCAGGCTGGTCTCGAACTCCTGGACTCAACCAGTCCTCTTGCCCTTGCCTCCCAAAGTGCTGGGGTTACAAACGTGAGCCACTGCGCCCGACTGAAGCAATAATTCTTAATGTTTTTTCTACTTGTGGTTTAAATTTGCATTTTCCCTATGACTAATTATGATGTCCATCTCTTCATGTGCTTATTGGCCATTTGGAGAAGTGTCTATTCAGATCCTTTACTCATTTTTATTTGGGTTACTTTTTTTTTTTTTTTTTTGGGAAACAGAGTCTTACTTTGGTGCCCAGGCTAGAGTGTAGTGGTGTGATCATAGCTCACTGCAACCTCAAGCTCTTGGGCTCAAGCGGTCTTCCTGCTTCAGCCTCTGAGTTGCTAGGATTAACTACAGGCATGCACCACCAAACCTGGCTAATTTTTTAACTTTTTTGTGGAGATACGGGGGGTCTCACTATGTTTCCAAACTGGTCTCGAACTCCTGGACTCAAACAATCTTCCTGCCTCGGCCTCCCAAAGGACTGAGATTACAAGCATGAGCCACCGAGCCTAGCCACTTATCTTTTTTATTGTTGAGTTATACTCCTGTATGTATGTATTCTGGATACAAGTCCCTTATGAGATTCATGATTTGCAAATATTTTCTCCTACTCTGTGGGTTGTTTTTATTGTTTGTTTGTTTGCTTTTTTCATGTAATTTTTTTCTTTCCTACTGCCTGTATAATTGCAGAATGTCTTCAGTTTCTTAGTAGCATCCATCGAAGTACAAAAGTTTTAAATTTTGATGAAATCCAGTTTATCTGTTATCTTTTACTGCTTGTACTTTTGGTGTCATGTTTAAGAAATCATTGCCTAATCTAAGGTTTTGAAGATTTATGCCTGTTTGTTCTTCTAGGAGTTGTTTACCTTTTGCTCTTTCATCCATTTTGAGCGATTTCTATATATATTGTGAGATAGGGATCCAGCTTCAGTGTTTTGCATGGGGATATCTAGTTGACCTAGCACCATTTGTTGAAGAGACTATTCTTTCCCATTGAATGATATTGCCACATTAGCTGAAAATTAATTACAATGAGTGTTACTGTTTATTTCAGAACTGTCAAACTTATTCTATTAATCTGTAGCAGGGACTACAGGTGCATGCCACCATGCCTGGTTAAATTTTTTTTTTTTTTTTTTTAATAGAGACAAGGTCTTTCTATGTTCCCCAGACCGGTTTGAACTCCTGGACTCAAACGATACTCCCACCTCAGCCTCCTAAAGTGCTGGGATTACAGGCATGAGCTACTTCTCCTGGCCCATAAATGCCTTTTATTGTGTTGAAGTTCCCTTCTGTTCCTAGCTTCTCAATAGTGTCTTAAAAGACACCCCTCAAAATTTCTTAAAAACACAATAATAAATATTAATTTTTTTAAGTAACTTCTTTTGATATTTGCATCTTTGTAAAGTTGTAACCCCCTTTAGTACCTTGTCTTTTCATTTGTCCTGACCACTTCATCATTTTCACTGAATCTTTGGGCCCTGTATCTAACTCTGGATTTCCATTCTAGATACCATCATCATTTGATATGATTTCAAAATTTGTCTAACAACTACAAAATCTTAAACTTCCTGATTTTATAAATAGTAAATGTTTACCCTACTTTTTTTTTAGAAAATAATATATAGAGAAGAGAAATACTCCAGCAGTCCAACTAGCAACAGCGCGCGCGCGCGCGCACACACACACACACACACACACACACACATACAAAACACACACATATATATAAACAAAATATACATAAACACACACATAAAAGTGCTAGTTTTGCTGGTTTTAATGTTGAGTTTATTTTATAAATTTATAACATTTAAAAAGATATATTTAAGACTGGGCTCAGTGGCTCAGCCTATAATCCCAGCACTTTGAGGCCAGAAGGATTGCCGGAACCCACTTGGCAAGACCTCCTCTCTGCAATAAATAAAAAATCAGCCTGGTGTGGCAGCACGCACCTGTAGTTCTGACTACTTGGAAGCCTGAGGCAGAAGGATCGCCGGAGCCCAGCAGGTTGATGCTGGGGTGGCCATGAGCGTGCTACTGCACTCCAGCCTGGGCGACGGAGTGAGACTCCAACTCAAAAAAAAAAAAAAAAAAAAATATATATATATATATATATTTAATATATATATATATGGAGAGAGAGACAGACAGACAGACATATATACATACATGTTTTACTAAATGGGATCAGTCTGTAAATTTTTATGTTCATTTTTTCTACTTGGTATTATGTTAAGGGTTTAAAAAATTACCGTGTCATTAAATAGTCTTTGAAAATATTGTTTTTTATTGCTGCCTTATATGTATGGATTTGACTTACTGTTTTGTTTTGTGTTTTTTATTTTTTATTTTATTTTTTATTTTATTTTTTTTTGAGTTGGAGTCTCACTCTGTCGCCCAGACTGGAGTGCAGTGGCCGCTCCCGGCCACAGCAGC